AAATGCCATTGTTGCTCCAGGTAAAGGGATTCTTGCGGCTGACGAGAGCACGGGTAATTGCATTTTTTTTTAACCTCAATAGCCACTGTTGGGAAAAGGTTTTCCGCCATCGGAGTGGAAAATAGTGTAGAAAATCGTCGTCTTTATCGGCAACTTCTATTTTCTGCCGATAGATGTCTTGCAAAAAATATTTCTGGGGTCATTCTTTATGAAGAGACTCTATACCAAAAAGCTGACGATGGTACTTCACTTGTAAAACTTTTACAAGACCGTGGTATTATCCCTGGCATTAAAGTCGACAAGGGTGTCGTTCCCTTGGCTGGCTCTATCAATGAGTGCACTACTCAGGGTCTAGATGATCTTGCTACTCGCTGTGCTCAGTATAAAAAGGACGGGTGCCATTTTGCTAAATGGCGTTGTGTCTTGAAAATATCCTCTCACACTCCTTCTTACCAGGCCATGATTGAAAATGCCAACGTCCTTGCTAGATATGCTTCAATATGTCAGCAGGTAGCCTCTTATTTGAATCATGTTTTCATTTTTTTTTACGCCTAGAATGGATTGGTTCCTATCGTTGAGCCTGAGGTCCTGCCCGATGGTGACCACGATCTTCCCACGGCTCAAAAAGTTACTGAGCAGGTTCTTGCATTTGTTTACAAAGCGTTGGCCGATCACCACGTTTATTTGGAAGGAACTCTTCTTAAGCCAAATATGGTCACAGCAGGCCAAGCTTGCAAAAAGTCATTCACAGCTGTTCAAAATGCTCTTGCTACCGTTACTGCATTACAAAGAACTGTGCCTCCCGCGGTCGCAGGTAAACTTACAAATTTTGCACTCTTATCAACTTCGATTTTTAAATAATGTTTTAATATTATTCAAATTTAGGTGTAACCTTCCTATCTGGTGGTCAATCTGAATTGGATGCCACTCTCAACTTGAACGAAATCAACAAAGTTCCTGGACGTAAACCCTGGGCATTGACATTTAGTTTTGGTCGGGCTCTTCAGGCCTCTGTTCTTGAGGCATGGAAAGGAAAAGCTGAAAATGTGTCAGCTGCCCAAAAAGAACTTATTAACCTTGCCTCGGTACGCCTTGTTTTACTTGAAATTGTATTCACTATTAAAAATGTCTTGGTTAATATTCGAATAATTTTTTTTAGGCGAACGGCGCTGCCGCTTGCGGACAATTTGCTGGTAATCTGGATACAGCAGCTGGCGGAAAGTCACTCTTCGTTGCCAACCATGCATATTAATTTAATTGTTTTTCACAACTCGCCAATTGCATTTGTTGCACAGAAAGACTTGTTAAACATGCACATTATTGATTACCTACCCTCTAATACTCCGCATAATTTCATCTAAGAAAGCATTTTAGCCAGTTTTATCAGTAGCCTAATATTTATTTTGAGCAGAGGAAGGCAAGATTTCGCCAAGAATCCCTACTGTTAGCTTATCACTTGATAAATCCCTGTCTTTATGACCTGATACTAGCACTTATCGTTCATAGATTCCGTTTATCCTGCATAAGAATGTGATCTCTTGCCATTTTTCATTTCAGCCATCTACAAATACAGTTATATATTATTTCTTGACTTCTTACTTCTTTATTTGGTTGTTCCGGAGTGTATCGTATCTAATTAATTCTAGTTATGCTTGCTCACATTCGTATATACTTCTGGTCATGGATTTTCCTTGAATCCTATTCTGGGAATAAATCTTTTCTTATCTATCTTCCTTAAGCACCATTTAGCCTCATTTAAATATTATTTTTAGATTTGCAGGCACCTTCGCTTTTCGTCTTGTCATTTATTACTTAAGTTTACGCTTTCATTATCTTGTTTTAAACACTGAATTTAGTCTTTGATCATAAAGACTGACGAATAAGGGCGACGGAATAAGGTTGTTTTGTGGGTAATCCCAGAGGATATTGATAAATGCAAATACAACGAATTAAGCCAGTTTAGCATATTCTTAAACATGAATTTCACTTTTCAGAGTGCGTGCACCCGCATTTTTCCTGATTCCATCGACATGGTGCCAATATTGGTCCATTGTACAATGTAGATTTCTGTCTAACGGCTTAGGGGATGAGGTGGGTCATTCCTTCTATTATCTTGGGCACTGCTCTGCTTCTTGGCGCCTACCGTTCTGTGATCTTCGGTGGAAATAACTCTTCTGGAACTGGACTTATCTCCCTTATTATAGAGGTCTCCCAAAAATTAGGCCTTCCAAGTGAATGGCTTGAAGGGTTGGTCGGCATCGAGCTCCCTCGGCCAGGTTCTGGACTTTCGGACCGTGAGTCGCCGTTATCTGAATCTCCATCGCATACTGGCTTCAGTCCTGGCATTTCATTCGATGACAGCAGCACTGAGTTCAAATTGCCTGAATGTCAGCCGAATGCGTTCAGTTTAGATCAATTGGTCAGACATCAACATCTCAGTATTCTTGGACATGTGTTTGATGTCAGCACAAATCTGGACATGTACGGAACTGAGGGCGGGTATGCTGACTTTACCGGTAAGGTGGAGTGTTCTGACGATATATTCATTTTTATTTCCTAATAATGCTTAAAGATTATCAGAACTTGAGAATTTTCAAGTTATGCAATTTATATAACCACTTACCGGAATGGATTAACTTCAGTGTATTTATTTATTAGAATTTTTTGGTTTTTTTTAGTCATTGTTTTTTCCTAAGGCTCCTTTGATAGTACTCTTTATCATTTAATCCAATTATTGACGGAGTTAAATCATTTTAGCTCTTTGATTCGGAAACCACTGAAACTCCAGATCTTATCTGCGGAGGACTGGTAATAGAACTCCTTATCTAATGAAATAAGAATAACTATAAAGCTGCTATAGGTTAATTCACCTTGGAAGGTTAAGGATAATCTAGTGTTTGTGTAGCATGGCGGAAATCGACAATAGTAATAAACGAAAATTTAAGGTGTATGGCTTGCTTGAAAGATGCGATTCAAAATGATTTTCCTCTATTAGCAACTAAGATGTTAATAACACATCAATTCTTTTTTTAAATGTGTATATTAACCCGATTTACCTACTACCGGTTAATAATGATGATCTTGGAGTCTCCGATTTATTTTGA